ATCCTAAAAGCGAGGAGCTGCCCCTGTGTGGCCGCCCGGGCTCCCCGGAGCAGAACAGATAAACATGCCGCGGGCGCTGGGCTGGGTGGCGGGCGCTGCGAGTGATGAGCGGAAGAATCCCGCTCTGCCGGGTGATGGGTGGGTTTTGTCATGAACTCTGCGGTGAGTGAGCAGCCGATCTGCTCCAGGCCCTCCCCTGGCATCTCTTTCTTTTCTCTTTTCTGTGGAGGTGGGGGCGCGGGTGCAAGGAATGGGCTCAGCATCCTCCCCCCAGTGCCCCTCCCATGACCATGGAGACGGTCAGAGTGGGGGCAGCTCACAGGAGCGGGCTCCTCCTGGCCCCTGAACCAAGGGTCCGGGTGAGATGCGGCCGCACACACTCCCCCCTCCGCCTCCTGGCCCCTGAACCAAGGGTCCGGGTGAGACGCGGCCGCACACACCCCCCCTCCGCCCCCCTGCCAGATGCCAGGAAAGCTGAGCCCCAGGAGGGCCGCCTACCTCTGCTCCTCCTCCAGCTCCTCTTTGGTCATCATCCTCTTGTACTGGCTGCCCCGCAGCTTCCCGGGGCTGTACTTGAAGAAGGCCTCTCCTCCTGCAGGGGGACAGAGGGTGAGCGCCAGAGCCCCCCTTCAAAAAGGGGCAGAGGCCCCGGCACGCAGTGCCAGCCCGGGTGCAGCCTGGCCTCAGAGGACCCGGCTCACCTCACCTGCACTCAGGATAGCTTGCTGCCGCCCTCCTATAGCTCTCTGCCCCCTGCCCCGCCCTCCTGTAGCTCCCCCCACACCCCCTCATTTGCTTGCTGCCCGGCCCCTTCCTGCAGCTCTCCACTGCCTGCTTGTAGCCAGCAGCTCGCTGCCCCCGCTCCCGCTGACCGCTGATCCGGTCCTGACTCGATTTAGGGAGGTAAACAGAAAGAATCAAAGTACAGAAAAAGGTGACTGATGATTGGGCACAGCAGAAACAAAGTATTTATTATTGAACTAGTAACCCTGCACACGAATCTGTGTGCCAGTAGCTTGCTGCCACCCTCCAGTAGCTCTCTGCCCACTCTCCTACCCTCTTGTAGCTCCCCCCACACCCCCTCATTCGCTTGCTGCCCGGCCCCTTCCTGCAGCTCTCCATTGCCTGCTTGTAGCCAGCAGCTCGCTGCCCCAGCTCCCGCTGACCGCTGATCCGGTCCTGACTCGGCCGGTCGTTACACCAACGCGTAAGGACCGTTTGCTCACTGCATCTCCATGACATGGGAGGCGTTTATGAAGGAACAAAGGGCAGCTCTGCAGGCCTGAGGGGGGGCTCCGTGACGTGGAGATGCGGCACAAGGAGGGCTGCAGGGCAGAGGAGGCGGCGAGTGTCCTGGCTGAGGGAGCCCTGTGGGGGAGCAGCGCCCTCATGGGTCCGGGGGCGCTTCAGTCCTCAGGCCTGTGCACGACGGCCGCTGGGCCGCGGGGGACAAGGCTGAAAGGCTGGTCTTACCAATTCCCAGGAGTGAGTCCAGACAGGAGG